GGCTCTGAGGGAGGAGGAAGCATGGTCCAGGGCTCCTGGGTTCCATTCCCAGCTCTGCCTCAGACTCACTGTGACCCCTGGGCACCTGCCCAGGTCATCCCCATAACACGAGATTGTTTCCTCTCCCAGCGCACTTGGGGGCTGCTGCTTTTATTGCCTACTCCTCCCTGCACTCCATCTTCAATGAGAGACTTTTCAGCTCAGGCTGTTTGTCGGCTGGAGGGATGCTGGAGAAGAGTCACCTCGGCTCCAGGGTGGTGAGTGGAGCTGTCGGTGACGGGGGACCCATTTGCCTCTCCAGACCGGCAAACTTCACCCTGCGCCATCAACAGGTGTGCAGAGGGAAATCTTTGTGTTGGGGCCTCCACAGGGGCATAGAGAAGGCTCCATCTCCTGTCGGGCATTGGGATGGTGCTGCTGTTCTGGCTCCCAATGGCTGGAGAAACAGAGGCCTCCTTATTCTTGAGGCGCTGGAGCTGTTTGACTGGAGGAGGATACCAGGGGTCACACGGTGGCCGTGCAAAGTGCCCTGGGGGAACCGCACCGCTTGGCTAACCCTGAGGTGGAATAAAGCCTCTTTCTAGAGCCAGTGGGCTCAGGGCAGTGGGGTGAAACTCTTCGGCACGGTAGCGAAGTGGTTAGTGCGCCTGTGTTCACTCTGTACCGCCCTCTGCTGGATGCAGCCAGAGCTGCTCAACCATGTGCTACACGCCTTCCACAGCTGGCAAGGATTTTCCTTTGGCTCCAGGAGCAGGGTCTGTGCTCTAGGAATGGCAGGAGCTGCATTCTCTCTCCCCATCACTGAAAGGGGCGCTGGGAGTCATGTGGGGAGAGCCATGGAGCTGAAGGTGGCTCGTGTGATGGCGCGTTGGGGGTCTCCTGTCTCTTGCACCCCGAAATGGCATAAACAGATTCCACCAGCCAGTGGAATTGAGGGTGGTTTATTGCTCCTCCAGGATACAGCATAGTACAGATGTGATCTGGTTACCCCCTTGAGATGGGGGGATCCCAGCCCCCTCCCCAGTTCCTTCTTCCCTGCTTTCCAGCCAGGAACTAACTCCCCTCTTCCAGCCCTGCCCCCAGCCAGGGCAGCATCCACCTCCCTTTGTTTCTCCCCATGGGGGGGTTGGCTGGTTCAACCGGTATGGAGTCACCTTTGCATAATAAGGTTTTCCCTGCTGGGTCTTGCTCCAGACAGCAGAGGTCGCCACAGCCCTAGCAAGTTACCCCCACTACGTCACAGCTCGGGTGTGTGAGACACATGATCACAGAAACGACAAATGCAAAGTGCTCCACTTAGGAAGGAACAATCAGTTTCACACATACAGAATGGGAAGCGACAGTCTGGAAAGGAGTATGGCAGAAAGGGATCTAGGGGTTATAGTGGACCACAAGTTAAATATGAGTCAGCAGTGTGATGCTGTTGCAAAGAAAGCAAACATGATTCTGGGCTGCATTAACAGGTGTGTTGTGAGCAAGACACAAGAGGTCATTCTTCTGCTCTACTCTGCGCTGGTTAGGCCTCAATTTGAGTATTGTGTTCAG